GGAGTTACTGCACGTTTTGAAAATTCATTCCTCCTCTCCTAATAGAGATTAAGGAATGAAACCGCTGTCATTTATTGAGAATATAATTCTCCCTCGATCGATATTGCTTTATTCCTTCATCGCAATTAGGGGGGGAGAAATGAATTTTCCAATTGGGGGAGCCCCTCCGGAGAGCCGTTCGGGGTTACTCCACGCTTTTGAAAATTCATTCCTCCGCTCCTACTTGAGATTGAGGAATGTAACCGCTGGCATTTATTGAAAATATAATTCTCGATCGATCGGCATCGGTTNAACAAATCAAGTACAATCGTCAAAATAAGTTCCGCCAGTCCGTGAAGTTAGCTACTTGTTGGAGTATGGGACTGAAATGAAGGAGCGGTTCGTAGCTAACTTCGCAGACTGGCTGAACTTATGTTAACGATTGTACGTCGTAAAAAAGTTGTAACTGATTATAGTTTCGTCGTCCAGCGTCATACAGTTTTTAACGATTCTAAATAAGTGACTTGTGCAGTACTTGCGCCTTTATCGTGAGACGAATCCCATTTAACACACTCTAGCCCTTTACTAAAATTACAAATATTGAACCATTGGGCTAGTTTTGCTTAGTCTCTTCTGCGGGTATTTCCTGCAATTGACGATATCAATTTTAAGAATTATGTGGAAATGGATAGCTTCCATTCATTACGAAATGGTGGGAAGTTATCTGGTACAGGGTGTCCCATAGCATGTGACCAAAGTAAATTGCGTAGAATACCGNTAATTAGAGAGGGGAAAAATCGATTTTTTAATGGAGAGAACTTGTCCGCAGTCACTCCGTGCTTCGAAAATGTATTTCTCCTCTCTTAATTGAGGTTTAGAAATAGATCCGCTGTCAATTCATTGAGAATTCAATTCTCAATCGATTGGCGTTCGTTCCATCTCTCCATCGCAATTAGGGGAGGAAAAATTGATTTTCATATTGAGGGCATAATTCCAGGGTCAGTCGGCGTTTAAAACCGGAAGGTTTCCCTCAACGTCGTTGGGATACTCATCACGGCTTGTCCAGCCCTGCGATTCCCCCCACATAGGCGCTTTCCCCCATACGCTCCCTGTTTTACTCACAGGTAGGTCCACGGCGTTTCGCCGCTCCCTACCTTACTCACAGNCCAGCCCTGCGATTCCCCCCACATAGGCGCTTTCCCCCATACGCTCCCTGTTTTACTCACAGGTAGGTCCACGGCGTTTCGCCGCTCCCTACCTTACTCACAGGTACGGCCGCAAATTAGTTCACGCGCCACCGCTACGAAATTTTGCGGTTGAAGCTTCTCCATAAGCGCTGGCAATCTCTCCTATAATCTCTGATATAACGGAACAAATCACTGAAATGTAGTATATACTGGAAAGGGCACTGATCCGCCTGACGCGAGCCGACAGAGAGGGGCGATTTTCAAGGATACCTATCTCTCTTGTACCGTCCGCTCAAAAAGTTTTCAAACCTTCTAGAACGTATAGAATTCAGTATTGGCGTTCAATTTTTGTTGTTGCATCATTATAACATAGAATTGATGATTTTTTTCCAATGTAATAATACTCGGGCCATTTACAATTTAACTAAAATAATTCCACATGGGAAAAATACAAAAAAATATACAATTCAAGAGATTATTTGATCAATGAATCTGAAGGTGTATCGAAATCCTCTGAGTCGATATCGTCATCAGTATTCGGATTTTGAAATTTAGGTATGTCCAATATAATTCCTGAAACAGAAAGTATAAATTGAATGATATAGGTTTTATTTTGAGGGAATTCCAGGGACTCTCAAGTTCAGGAAAATGCCTCGTGTGTCGAGGAGTTGAATTGGAATCTGTTTATATCTAGTTGTCCCAATACTGCAATAAAAAATAAGAACATTGTAATTGTGAATTTTTTTAATGCATGAAGAATACAAGAGAAATCCAATGAAGACAATATCAAAATACACGATTTTTCCTCTAATTTTCTACGAAATAGCTGTTCGTGGATTAGAGGATATTTTTTTATTCTCACAATGGGACAATTATCGCCAAGACGTAAATAGCAACAATTGAGTGTGCACCACTCAGAGTACATAAGCTTTTTAACTCGCATGTACATGCTCGTTCTACGCATGCGCAACGCCTGCTAGAGTGAGACAGGTATCCTTGAAAATCTACCTCTCTCTGGCTCGTTTTCCGCTTACGGGCCTAGCATGGCAATGCCCTTTCCAGTATATACTACATTTCAGTGGAACAAATCAAGTACAATCGTCAAAATAAGTTCCGCCAGTCCGTGAAGTTAGCTACTTGTTGGAGTATGGGACTGAAATGAAGGAGCGGTTCGTAGCTAACTTCGCAGACTGGCTGAACTTATGTTAACGATTGTACGTCGTAAAAAAGTTGTAACTGATTATAGTTTCGTCGTCCAGCGTCATACAGTTTTTAACGATTCTAAATAAGTGACTTGTGCAGTACTTGCGCCTTTATCGTGAGACGAATCCCATTTAACACACTCTAGCCCTTTACTAAAATTACAAATATTGAACCATTGGGCTAGTTTTGCTTAGTCTCTTCTGCGGGTATTTCCTGCAATTGACGATATCAATTTTAAGAATTATGTGGAAATGGATAGCTTCCATTCATTACGAAATGGTGGGAAGTTATCTGGTACAGGGTGTCCCATAGCATGTGACCAAAGTAAATTGCGTAGAATACCGCAAGATGGCAGTGCAGTCTAAAGTCTAATATATGGTTGAAGTGGAGACTCTCCGCAAATTTCATTCATGCTTCAGTCGCTCGGGAATTGCAGCACTAAAATGGAGAATTTAACCATCGAACAAAAATCATTGCTTATTGTTATTTACTCAATTAATAATAGTATTTCAGACGTCCAGGCCAATAAATAAACACTCACTTGATTCAGTAAATATCTAAATTTAATTATTAAGTAATGATCAACCTTTTAACAATGACGATTGCTTTTATTTATGTGGATAATCTTGGAGTAACAATTCCATATATGTGCAAATGTGACAGGTAAAACAGAGAAGTGAGGTTAATGGGTGAAAGCCTTTCTGGTGTTAATTCAGACTATATGTCGATAAACGATATCGCAGATCTCTACTTTTGACGCTAATATTAAACACTCCCACTCGATAAAAATATATAAATCTCGTACTCTCGTAACATCTGAAAAATTATAATTCAACAATTCATTATTGATTAGATACATTTACTATCCCACATTTCTCACATAATCCTTGAAATTTCCCCTTTGCGAGAGCTTTGGTGAGTGCATCAGCCAGTTGCTCATTTGTTGAAATATATTTTACATCAATGATACCGTTTCGATACTGTTCGCAACTGTACTTGTATTGAGTATCCACATGCTTTGATCCCTTGTCGCAGTATATCTGAATGGCATCACCGGCCTCTGCACTTATCTCCATCTGTATTCTCCTCAGCCACACAGCCTGCTTAGTGGCAGAACACAATGCCGTGAATTCAGCTTCTGTTGCAGACGTAGCAACAGCACTTGGCGTACGTGATGACCACGACACAGGTCCACCGTTCATCAGATAAATCCAAACTGTGGTACTCCTTCTCGTTTCAGGATCTCCAGCCCAATCTGAGTCACAATATCCAATGACTCTCTCATCACTTGAACCAAGCTTGTACATGATACCATATCCTGCAGTTCCTCGCAAGTACCTGAAGACCTACTTGACTCCATTCCAATGCTCTGAACTTGGTTTAGCAGCAAATTGACTGAGAATACTGATAATATAGGCTATATCAGATCTAGTTGTCACCATGAGATACATCATCGATCCAATTGCCTCTCTGTAAGGATAACCACTTCGCCCACTGTCTCCAGAATCATGGATAAATCTTCTCCCTGGGTCTGCTGGTATAGAATGAGATGAACAATTAGTGTGATTGAATTTTTCAAGTATCTTATTGACATAAGCAGCTTGATGTAACTTCAATACTCTATTTTTGTCATCCCTTTGGATTTGTATTCCAACAAAACACTCAGCTGGACCAGATTTTTTTTGGAAATGTTTTTGCAAAATTTCCAACAGTTCATTCATCATCTTTCCATCATTCGAGGATATTAAACCGTCATCTACATATAATATAAGGTATAATATCTTCTGACCTTGTTTGTGAATATACATGCACGGATCCTCCTCTGACTGAATCAAACCAAACTCCTGTAGACAAGTCGATATTTTGAAGTTCCACTGCCGCGGTGCTTGTTTCAACCCGTAAAGACTCTTCTTCAATAAACAAACCCGATCATCAACTTCAAACCCAGCCGGCTGCTCCATATAAATTGTTTCCTCTAAATCTCCATTTAAAAACGCAGTCTTAACATCAAACTGGATTGTATTTAAATTCAAAGCTGCTGCGGTTGATAAAATCATCCTGACCGTATCTGCTCTGACAACTGGAGCATACGTCTCAGCAAAATCAACTCCATACTGTTGAGAATAACCCTTAGCCACTAATCTGGCCTTGAATTTGTCGATCGCTGCATCTGCCTTGTATTTAGTTCGAAAAACCCATCGATTTCCAATAATATTAGTGTTTTCAGGTCTCTCAACAAGTTCCCAAGTATTGTTTTCTTCAAGTGAATCAAGTTCCTCCTGGACTGCTCTCATCCATTGTATTGAATTTGGATCGTCCTTAATCTCATCCACTGTCAGTGATTCAATTTCTGTTAGCAAGGCTTCTGCGTACAGATTCTCTCCATTCGTACTGTCAGTTTTAGTTCTTGGTCTCAATGGATATGAATCACTAGGTGTGGGTTGACGGGGGTTAACTCTTTTGGTTTTTGGACTTTCTTCATTCTCTTTACTCCCACTGAAGACTTCATCTTTCAGTTCTCCAACATCTTCATCCCTCGCCTCCTGATTAATTTCGATTTGAACCCTGTCTGGCTCCTTCTCGGAGAACTCAACATCTCGACGTACAAAGCACTTACGCTGATCTGGATCAAACAATCGATATCCTTTCCCTGCATCAGCATACCCAATCATGATCATTTTCTTCGAATTCGGTCCCCACTTTGTTTTGAATTCCTTTGGGACATGTGCATAAGTAGTACTTCCAAAAACTCTCAGATGCTCAACACTAGGTTTCTTCCCAAACCATTTCTCGAAAAGCGTCGTTCCATTCAATGTCCTTGATGCAGTCCTATTCTTTAGATAGACTACAGTTCTAGTCGCTTCTCCCCAAAGATATAACGGCAGCTTCCTGGCATGCAGCATAGATTTTGCAGATTCTACTATCATTCGATTCTGCCTTCCTATGCTCTATTCATGCTCCATTCTACTCTGGAGCTCTTGGTGTAGACAACTGATGCTTGATTAAATTTTCTCTGCAAATTCTCTCCATTCCTTTATTACAAAATTCCAGCCCACAATCACTGCGAATTCATTTGATTATGTGTCCATCAGCTTGAACATCAGCTAGAAATGACATGAAAGCCTCAGGTACATCAGATTTCTCTTTGATAAAATATACGTTACAATACCTTGAATAATCATCGTTTAATAGACAGAAATAATTGGCACCTCCTATTGACATCTGACTTGATTTATCACTCAAATCCATATGAAATAATTTTCCTGGTGCTGATGCTCGACGTGCTGTCTTCGGAAATGATAATCTGTACTGCTTTCCAAGCACACAGCCCTCACAGAAATCCAGAGCTCCATCAACCTTGAGATTATTTACTGTTGACCTCGTTATCATCTCTTTTAATATTAAATAATTGGGATGACCAAATCTCTCATGCCAAATCTTCAATGTTGTTGTATATGCGACATTTGCTTCCGAACACAAAACTGTCCGAAATTGCAAAACATACCGACCACTTCCATAAATTTCTCCAGTAACTAATATTTTACCTCTCTGAATGAATTCCACGATTTGTTCTCCGGCCCGGAAAATAACATCTATACCTTTGGATGCTGATTTGCTCACTGACAATAAATTCTTTCTCAAATTTGGAACCAATAAAACATTGTTTATGACATGCTCCACTTCTCGATGAGGACCACTGGTAACCTTGACAATAATATCTTCTCGTCCTTTGGCGTAAAGAACGTCTCCATTTCCCATACGAACTCTATATGATTTTTCTGGATACAATACTAGATTCTGAAACCAATCCTCACGAAAAGACATGTGCTCTGTTGCTGCTGAGTCAGCAAACCATATATCTGATCCTCTCTCCATAGTGAAACATTCAGCCTCAGTTTTAACACAAAACATCGATGATTGATATGAATATTGATTATTGGAATCCCAATGATTGCATTGAGGTTGACCCTGACTTCCCTGCTCCTGTTGAACTTGATCATTATTGCCTTCAGCCATGTAACCGTGACCTTGCCCGTACCGATTCTGTCCATGATGAGGTCGTTGACCTTGACCATAACCGCGACCACGACCCTAATTACTTTGATGACCGCCGAATCTGCCTGAATTTTGTGTCCCTCCTGAATTTTTCTCATCGTTCATTCGACTCCTGCACTCTTGAGCCCAATGCCCTGGTTTCTGACAGTAGTTACATAAACCAGGCTTCCTCTTACTGCTAGCACCGCTCCCCTTGTTGTAGAAAATTTCATCCATGTGTAACTCAGGTGGTTTTTCATCCCTAGACTTCATGACAGACACCTCATTCGCCAAATTTATCGTCAACCTCTCCACAGACTGCTCCTTTTTCGGAATTGAATACCATGAAATACGCACTGAATCAAAAACTGGGGGCAAACTGGCAAGAATTTTAGCTATTATCATCTGATCATCCATTTCCATACCAACGTCTTTCAATTGTTGTGCTAATTGAGTTATGTTAGCAACATGATCAACTACCCTTTTGGGCTCAACTACCATCTTGCAATTAATAAACTATTCCAATAATACCTGTAACGATTGATTACTCTTTTCGGCCTGAGCAGAGCTCAACCTGCATCTTAGCTGCTGTGTCGCAATTACTTAAATGTTTCAATTGTACTAACTCCAAGCCTTTCATGAGGAATGCATGTGCTTGTCTATCCTTCTCTTCCCATGCTTCAGAATTAGTTTCTGGCTTCGGGATAGATCCATCCAAATATTTAATCAATTTCTTATTCTTTGCAAAAATTTCCATCTGTCGCTTCCAGAGATGAAAGTGTTCACCATTAAACCTTTGAATATAATTTGTGTGTCCTTCCATCATATTTTAGTTTGAGAAATTGACCGATACTATACAAATGACTGACGTTCCAAATTTGTGGCCTCGTGGTTGGACGCTTGGCCCATAACCTATTGTTATTTACCCAATTAATAATAGTATTTCAGACGTCCAGGCCAATAAATAAACACTCACTTGATTCAGTAAATATCGAAATTTAATTATTAAGTAATGATCAACCTTTTTACTATGACGATTGCTTTTATTTATGTGGATAATCTTGGAGTAACAATTCCGTATATGTGCAAATGTGACAGGTAAAACAGAGAAGTGAGGTTAATGGAAGAAAGCCTTTCTTGTGGTAATTCAGACTATATGTCGATAATCGATATCGCAGATTTCTATTTTTGGCGCTAATATTCAACATTCCTCATCAAATCATATTACCGAAAAGGAGATTCAGCTACTGCAGCTATAAGAGCATTTCATTCTAAGTATGGCACACACACTGGAGTGTCTGATTCGAGTCTCAAACGGTAAATGAAGTGAATGAACTAACTAACCAAAAAATTTCGTTTTCTTCTTTTATTGAAAATTGACGCATTTTTTCGCCAATTATGGGTATTTTTAGGATAATTAAGAAATTTGATCAGTACGGTACACTAGACGATAGAAAGCATGAGCATCCTGGTCCTTCATGTACTGTAACCACGGATGAAGTTGTCCGTACAACTGAGGAACATTTCAAAAAATATCCAAATGATAGGGTAAACTGCCCAGTAGATGGACGCCTAAGAAAACCCCCCAGTAGATGGACGTTTGTTTTTTAGCAATTGAAAAAAAAATGATCGAAAAGAAATCGTCACTCAGGGGTTAAGAATCACAACAGTTAGTGAAAATTCAAAGCAACAATTCACATTTCAGTATTTTTTTGCGTAATTTCCTACCCAAAAGTAGCTCGTCCATCTATAGGGCAGTGTCCATCTACTGGATAGCTTACCCTACTCGTCGAAAGGCTTCTCAAACCTTGAAAGTCTCAAAAACTTCACTTCGCCGTATCTTGACAGTGTTTTTAAACTTCCATCCCTACAAAATTTCTATACATTAATTTTTAAGTGAGGAGGCGATGGCTCGCCGTGTGCAATTTCGCCAAGAACTTCACAATTTTTTTGAATCCAAGGAAATGAAGGCACAGAATATCATCTTCTCGGACGAAGCACATGTCTACTTAGGTGGCTTAGTATTTATTATTATTATTATTATTATTATTACATTACGTGCCTATGTGAGTTTACAGTGTAAGACGACACTCACTTTGCACGGGGGGGAGTACAAAAACAAGAAACATTAGACAATTATAAATGTATAAAAAAGTGAACAGTGCCTAATCATAAGGTCGCTTTTTCCCACTATCGGTGATCAAATTAACATAAAAGACATAAAAAACATAAACATAGAGACCCAACATTCTCAGTCATTCCATACATAATAATTTCTCCCGCACTTCTAATGCCTCGGTCATGAAAAACGCCAATCTTTTCAGCTCTTTGGAACTATGAATATCTAATAACGATGGCAGAAGGTCCACCTTAAATCTATCCAGTAGAAGGGAGTTGAAATGACTAACTCTGAGGTTATGATAGTAAGGGCAATTAACAATGACATGCTCCACCGTTTCTAGTTCAAAGTGACAGATTTTGCAGTAGTCTCCAGGTGTTAGTCTATAAATTTTGTTATTACAAATGATCCTTCCCACATAAACATTGGCAAGTCGGATCTGCGCAACAATTCGTGTACAGGATATTGGGCAACGAAGTAAGAGGTACCTGGCCGTTCTATCACAAAAGTCAAGTCAAGTCAAATAATGTTCATTAACATAAATACGAATATTTACAAACAATAACAAATGTTTACAGTTTTTATATACAGGACTTTATGAAGTATAGCGACAGCCCAGGGGCTTTAACATATATTTTACATGGTGATTATGAGAGGGGGTAACAAATTGAAGGTTGCGGGTGAAGAGGACATTCGAGATAGGGAAAATAATTTTTAGAAAAAAACCCTATTTCATGAGGAGTCGGTTGGGGCTATCACAAAAACTTCTCGAAATGTTCAATTGAAAGGATTTACTAGCAGAGGCTCTCAACAAATCTTGTGCTTTTACGTTATCACTGTACCTGGTTAAAATTTTACGTTTGTTCTCCCTCCAGATTCTCGGATCCAAGATTGAGCACAAGTAACCCATGTCAAATTCATCCAACACTAGTTTTAATTTAGAAATCCAATTCCGTTTTAAGTTATTAGAGCGTTTATCTAACAAAAAAAAAAGCCGCTTCCAACAGATCAGAGGGAGGCGCGTTTCATCCATACTGAGAACTTTAATTGCCCAATTTATTATAAAATCCAACGCCTTGACTGACAAGTGCTTCAGTCCTAACTCTAATCTAATAATATAGCCCGGCGTGTTTGATGGAATTAGGAGCATTTGTTTAAAGAAATCATTCTGAATTCTTTCAATACTGTCAAAATGACCGAGGCTCCAGGAGGACACTGCATATAACAAGGTTGGAGTCACGACACTATCGAAGAGCTTGATCTTAGAGCACCAAGCATCCGATTTTGACTTGCACAAAATTGATTTGGTGGCTCCAATCGCAGCTTTGGCTTTTCTAATTGCATGGTTAACGGTGCTTTCACCACTTAAACTACTTTCCACCAAAATTCCCAAGTATTCATATTGCTTAACTGTCTCAACCACAAGCCCATCATACATAAATACATCTTTTTCCGATTTTCTTATCCTGCCACTAGTTCTAAATGGGAGGACCTTCGTTTTGCTAGTGTTAACCACCAGACCATTCTGACTACAAAATTCCTTAAGGACTTTCGACTTGTTTTTAACATTTTGGATGCTGTGGCAAAGAAGGGCAGTATCGTCTGCATACGTGGGCATCAAGAGGTCATTTTTTCCATCTATACTAAGCCCCCTGTATCCCCTATCAATAAAAAATCTCTCAAAATCTGACACATATAATATAAATAACAAGGGGCTTAGTATTTCTCCTTGCAACACTCCCTCCGTGACTTCAAATCTATCTGAAACCTCCCCCAACAATTTTACTTGAGCTGACGCTTTATTATAAATGTTGATTAAAACCCTTACAATTTTGGCACTCAGCCCAAGTCCAAACAATTTTGCCCATAAGAGGTTGTGAGGGACAGAATCAAATGCCCTGCGAAAATCTATAAAAATTGCATAAACTGAATTTCCCGCAAATCGCAGTTGGAGTTGAATCGTATTTAGCAGGACATAGACTTGATCCTCACAACCTCTCTTTCTCCTGAACCCTGCTTATGACTCCGGAAGAATATTTGCCCCTTCCATCCAACTCTCAATCCTCTTGGCTAGAATTTTTGTAAATATCTTTAGTATGCTATTTGTGAGGGCTATGCCCCTATAATTGGCGGGATCACTCTTATCACCTTTTTTTTAGAGCATTGTAAGGGCTGCGCTGGGCCACGACTCGGGTACAACCTCCCTCTCAAAGACCTCATTCAACAGGGAAAGAACTTCCATTTTTCCCGCGTCTGGCAATGCTTTCCAGAATTCGCTCGAAACTAGATCAGGGCCAGGGGCCGTATTATTCTTCGAAGTTTTAAGTGCTGATTCAAGTTCAGCCAAGCTAATTACCGCATCTAGTTCCTGGTGTCTAACGTCCATAAGAAGGAGGCTGCAACGAGCCCGGGGCGGATACATATTGCGATAAAATTCCTCCCATTTTTCCCTTGATACATCATTTCCCCCTGAATATTTCCTACCGACTTCTTTCACCGTTAACCAAAATTCACCCATATTTTTCACATTCGCAATTCTCGACCTTATATTCTCAAAACACAATTTCTTTTTTACACCCATCAGCTTCTTACAATTCTTTTTACTATCTATATAATCATTCAACAGTTTTAAATCCGATTCTTTATCATTGCTGGATTTGTTCTGCTTAAATTTCTTCCAGGCCTTATTAACATTTGCTTTATTTATTCTGGTTTCCTCATCCATCCATTTACCACCCTTTCTGTGCTCGACAATTGAGCCACCCGAACCCACCCTTATTATAGACATCATGCCTGCCGCTTTTGCAGACTCAATAATACTGACCCTCAGTCTCTCATTCTTTGCATCAATGTTCGACTCTTGGGATGGAGGAGTGTCCTCGACAACTCGTTCCAGCCTTTTCACATACTCCGGAGCTTAGGTGAATATAGGTGGTTTAGTAAATAAACAAAATTTTTGCTTTTGGGGGACTGAGTCACCTCACGTTATTGAAACCAAGTCCTCACACATGAAAAAAGTCACTGCATGGGCGGCAATTACAATAAAAGGTATTTTCCTTGAATTTATTGAGAGTCCGACAATCAGTGATCATATTTACTGTGAGTTCTTGAAGAAGAACTTCTTTCCTTGGGCATGAAAAAATCAGTTAGTCAAGAATTTCTACTCCACTTAAGATGGTGCCGCCCCACACAGGACTGCTGGAGTGTTTGAAATACTTTTTTCCGTTTATGGCACTCGTGTGTTAGGCTTAGGTTTCCCTAAGTATGCCCATGGGGACATGGAATGACCGTCTTACAGTCCGGACTTAAATCCCTGTGATTTTTGCCTATGGGATTTCCTCAAGGACAAGTGCTATGAGGAGAATCCGATGACGGTGGGAGAGTTGCAAGACGCAATTAGGGATGCTATCCGAGCTGTTGATGAAAACACAATATAGCACATCTATTCCAGTTTCGAACGCAGGATAGAGTTCTGTAGTACAAGTGATGGCAGACACTTGGAAAGAATTATATTGTAATTTGCCGAATGTTCCTTGTACAATAAAAAAAGAACAATTATTTACATTTTACTGTATCCAAGTTATTTGCAATTTACTTTGGTCACATGCTGTGGGACACCCTGTCGTTCTTTATCGCCTATACGGCATTAACAATTGACAGAAATTTATTTCACTATACGTATTGTGCTAATTCATTTGCGAAGTAGTAAAACGGTCTAAGTCGAGTGGTGTGCATTTATATAGAAAAAATTCGACTGGGTTGTTGGTCGCTCGCTTCGTTCACTCCCATTGTGTGTGGGCTGAAGTGGGTGTGACCCGTTACGGGTCAAGCCAATAACTTCCCGATTAATTTACATTTTTCTGTTTATTGGAAAAAAAACAAATTTGGAAATTTCCATCCAGATAACGAGAAATTTTTTGAAACGATTTTGCTCAGCGTCCAATCAAAATCGAATGACATTACTGCACTCCGGTCTTACGAGTGGTCTAAAACTAAGACCGAAGACCATAACTCCGGTAAACAGTCCTCAAATCAGATCAATATCCGATCTTAACATGAGATCTTACGCAATTTAAGATTGTTCGTGAGTCTGATCATATGCATAACACCCCGCTCAGATCTCAAATTTTAAGATAGCAACTTTAAGATCGGAAACGGATCTGATTTTTACATCTTTAGATTGGTTTAAGTTCCGTGAGATGTGTTAGTGTTAGATCCACTGCCAATGTAAGATCGGTACAGCGAGGAAGATCGAAAATTCTGACCTTTATGTTTTGATCCTTGTAATTTGACCCTTATATTGTGATGCTGGTGTTTTGACCCTTACATTCTGTTCCTTACATTTTAACCGTCACTTTTGACAATATATTTCTATCCTCATATTCGGACCTCATCTTTTGACCCTTGTAACCTTATATTCCGACTCTTAGAGTTTGAGCCTTATATTCAGAGCTTTATGTGCTGACCCCCTACATTGAAGCCCTTACATTTTGTCTCTTAAATTCTGACCGTTATACTTTGACACTCATATTTTGACCCTGACCTCTGAGGTTTATTTCTAATCCTTATTTCTGACATACATTTTGACCGACATTTCTGATCCCGGCTCTGATTTTTCTAAAATCGATGACAAACAAACGCATAATAAACAAACAAACATTACAAATTAGAAACATGCCAAATGTAAACGCATTCCCAAGGTTCGCCGCATCATTTGTCACACCCAATTTTAGCAAAGTATGTAAGGGTCAAAGTACAAAAATTAAAATATAAAGGGTCACGAGGGTCAGAATATAACAGTCAGAGCATAAGTGTTAAAATATAAGGGTCTAAATATGCAGCTCAAAATATTCACATATAAGGGTCAAAATATAAGAGTCAAAGTATAAGGGACAGAAGATAAGTGTCTAAATACAAGGGTCAGGATATAAGGGTCAAAATATAAAGGTCAAGATGTAAGCGTCCAAAAATGAGGGGCAGACATATTTAGAGTTGGACTCTCCCCCTCCGTCACCGCCCTAACAATCAGCACGGAATAATTTACAATAATAGCAATCAGTTCCACAAAAATTCGGACAATCCGGTCTTACGATTTGGACATATCGATCTTCGAATAAGACCAGAGTTTTTACCGTGATGTAGATGCACCGATTGTATAATAGTATATTGTGCGCCTAGCCGAGAAAAGTGCCGTTTTCAGGGACGGCGTCCCTTGAACGACACTTTTCTCGGCGTGGCTCACATACTATTTTTCCGGACGTAGGGCGCTTGAATTTTTTCCTCAATACAATGTTCAGAAGATGATAGAATAACAAAAATGCACTGAAATTATATTTATTGAAGTTCTACATAAGTATACATTTCTGTTTTATTTTTTCTATGAATAAGAACTCTCATGTTTGTTTCTTACAGTTGAAGTCTTTAAGAAACTTGAATAAAACATCGATTATATCTTTTGAAAAGCTCGATGTTTTTTGGCAATTTTTGTTTGTTCAGTCATTATATTTATTATTTTCCTCTATGATTGTAAATATTCACTGTCCCATAATTATTGATCGTAATACTTTGAATGTCTTTGGTAGTTATTTCTTGCGTATTCTGCTCGTTAATCGTTGTATTATACTTATCATTGTTGTTGTTAGTCATATCGTCATTGAACTCACCTCTGATTGTCTCGCTTCTCGAGTTGGATGTTCTCAACGGGAAATTGTTGTTAATTTCCTCTCCAATTCTTGATGTTATGTAATTCTGAGGAATTTGGACTGCTGGTGTATTCTCATTATAATTTAAAAATGAAATGTTGAGATTAGGCAATTAATTTTCTTTATTTTGAGTCATTTCGTTAATGGACTCTCTCGTGATTGCCTCGTTCCTGAAGTTTTATGTTTTGCATGGGAGGTTATTGTGGAATTGTTGCTGCTGAATTTGTGATTCTGGCTCGACCTGCGGCTGCAAAAATGCCGAGGCATTCTGGAAATTGATTAACTCTCTTATCTTTTGACTGATTATTCTCTTGGTCCTCTTGGATTTCTATATGTATCCTCGAGCAACTGTAGGTGACTGCCACCCTCCTGCAAGTTGAATTAAAGTCATACTTGCACCTGCATCAGCCAGCATTGAGGCCGAAGAACGGCGGAAGCAATGTCCTGTGTAATCAGGGTGTATACTCTAGATATTTGGCGATTTCTCGAGGCATGTGAGCAAATGTGTATTCACCAAAGTTCTGATTTAAACATTTCCCTTTGTGATACTGAATGAAAAAGTTGGGCTTTGTGATGTTTGATCCTCGTAATGTCATATATTTCTTTACCAGTCGGTAATACTCAGCATCCACAAGAAAATCCTTGGGTTGACCATTTTTAGTTGTCTCCAAGGAAAATAACAATTCACGTTTTTATGGATCGTCCTGAACATCTTTAGCCTTCAAATTCCAGAGATCTTGCTTCCTGAGGGTGCCTAACAGTCCAATAACCACAATAACCTGACAAAGAATGAAGATCGTCATGATTATTCATTTCAAATTCAACACGACAGCTTAATCGCATTAGTTTCCCTATATGCATTTCTGTAGCGAAGTGGTCAAGGAGGTTATGTTGATTTTGATTTTCGGTTATTTGTCGATCAATATTTCGGAAACTGAGTGAAATAGCGCAATTCTTGTGAAAATATTTTTTGTAGATCCTGATTTTGTGGGCAAAGAAGGTATCCATAACGATTTTATTATTCTCCTCGGTTTTGGAGATGTTGATCGAAAATAATCGAGAATTGAAACCAATTCAACCTCATTGACTACTTCGCTACAGATTTGTTGAGGATAATTAGCTTTGTGAGGAGATGATCACAATCAGGTGCTGTTGACAAGAATTCGGCCACCTGTTCTGGCATCAGAATTTTTGCTTTCTTGGGTATATATACTTTATCTCTCTTCTTTAGCCATGCAACAAGTTTATACTTGTCAATGTTCACATTCTGTCTCGCTACCAATATGCTTTTAAGCATTGAATAGATGGACCACAGAGTTGTGGGACAATTTGTCTTTGACAAGTGACCGAAATAAACCATTAGAGTTGGCTCATCAAAGGAATTACATCCCTTCTGTTGTCGCCATTTCATGAAAACATCAGAACGTTTTATATATTTCTCTTTAGATTTTTCAGGTAGAGTATCATCGAAATAAATTTGTGCTTCTTCGAGAATTTCATGAGGTATATCACTGTCATCACTCGCCATAAATTGGGTTATATATTCGTCACTTATTTTTATCGTCCTTCATTAATCTCTAATTCCTAATTAATGACATCCCACATATTTTACGCAATGAATTTTGTAGAGACTAGGAGAATACTACACATTACACAGTAAAATGTGTGGACAAGTGGAGTTTATTAAGATGGCGGAGTAACCGTGAGAATAAAATTTTCTTATTTCAAGGCTTATATTTAAGTCACGACGAACATTGAGAATATGGTTTGTGGCTGGAAATTGCCAGCACGGACCATGAAGAGAGTCTTTTTCAGGCGAGAAGTTATTTCTACTGACGGAAGAGCAAAACATCGTTATCTTCCCTCTAAACTGGCGAGAAAATGAAGCTTTTTCCGCCCCGAGTCCGGAAAAAACAATTTTAAATGCACCGTTCGTTGAAGAGAAATCGTGTCCTAAAAATTTTTGCATCACATACATTCGCGCGCATACACACACACACATCCTGTCCTGGAAGTCTTAGTCTATTCTCTCTGAAAAGGCTAAGACTTCCAGGACGAAACGGAAGACGCGAGAGTCACCACCGAT